ATTTTTTAACATTTTCTTATATGTTTTCATTTTCTTCATTTTCTGAGAGCTCAATTTCATCCAGTTCATTGAGTATATTTGACATATTATGTTTATCCTCATCATAGAAATCTTCTTCTTCTTTTTCAACTGAAGATTTATTGGCTATAATTTTTATAATCTTTATTTCGAGCCTCTGATGCTTCCTCCCCAAGCATACCTATAGGAAGCAAACTTGCACTTACAGAGCCGTGCATACAAATTTTGTGAAGTGTTGCTGACATAGGGTACCAATCATAATATTTAATATAAATTTTTGCAGTAGCAGTAGCAAATTGATCAAATTTATCGTAGTCAAGAGGACTTTTTTTGACAGTGCTATTAGAATAGTTTGTAAGTTACAAACTAGTTGTGAATCTAGGCCTAAGATTTTAGCAAACAATTTTGGATTTGCAAAAGCTCTGCGGGCTGTATTGCCATCGTTTGTAGTTCCAGAGCCACCAGGTTTCGGTTTATCTACTCTTAGTCCCAATTCTTTCCAAAGTCTAGCTTGAATAAGTTTTTTTCGTTCTCGAAAGGAATCTCTCTGCAATTCAGTTCTCATTTGCCAAACTTTCACGTCAAGTCTATAGGAAATATGCAAACATAATTCAAAAATTCTGTTCCAAGCGTGAAGTGGGCTGAGTCCGTATTGAAGTGAATTTATACTTGGCAAAAAAAATGCCTTTTTTGCTTATTTGAAATATCATTAACTTTTCCCAATAAATAATACATTCCCTTATAGTGAGATTTGCGCTTTCGCTAACACTTAAGTTCACTTCACGAATATTATAAAATAGTACCGCCAATACTTGACAATTAAATAGTAGTTTTGAACCAGTAATTTGGTGTTTAGCATCGCCTATTAAAAATATGCCTTTTCTAGAACTGCGTAATTCCACTAACATCTCGACTGAATGAAAACAATGATGACCAAACACCGATAAGATATTCGCGCGCGCCAAAGTTAACAAGTACTGACATGTATCAATGCAAGTCGGTACGGGTTGCTTTGGTCTTAGGTACATGAAAATTTATTTACATGCATTTTAATACGATACAAAAATAATTTGAGGGTATGCATTAAAAAAAACAACTTTTATTTTTTTGGGACACCCTAATACCTATATATGTATATTATATGTATCTAATATATAAAATTATCGTGTCACAGTTTTTGTTACCATGCTCCTCCGAAGCGGCTATACCGATTTTTCGACATACCAAAAATCGCATATAAAGTGAGTTACTACCTCATCACACTGACAAAAAGACGCTACCATAGCATTTTAAATCATTTTAAACAGCGGCAAAAATCATTTATCATTAAGTAAAATCATTAATTCTATTTATGAGTGTTTTGTCCAGTGAGCAATGCCAAGAAAACGCAGAGGAAGAGATTTGAGCCATAATACAAGTATATCTTGATACATGCGAAATAAAAGATCCGAAAGAATAGCGCAATTGCATCAAGAAGAGCCAGAAGATACACGAACTGAACGCAATGAAGTCAAAGAAGAGCCAGAAGATACACGAGCTGAACGCAATGAAGTCAGAGAAGAGACAGAAGATACACGAGCTGAAAGCAATGAAGTCAGAAGATTAGAACAACGACAACCACCCCGTTTCACAGTCAATAGACGCAGAACAAATGACCAACAACGACAACAGGTACATCGAGCATTTATATATGATTCATTACTGCGTCTAGCATTCCAGTATGAGCCCGATATTGAGTATTATGCTCACTCAAAAGTGGTAATTGGTGCTATGAACAAGGAATGTCCGCATTGTCATGCTCTGAAATTTAAAAATGAGCCAGCTGGGATGTGTTGCGCGTCAGGAAAAGTGCAACTACAAGAAATTGAAACACCACCTGAACCATTGAACGGCTTACTTATCTGCACGGATCCAGATTCTAACGTGTTCCTGAAGTCAATTCGAGCATTTAATTCATGCTTTCAAATGACATCATTCGGAGCAACATAAATAGTTCGAAATACTAATGCAAAATTGTTTAATAGTGTTACTGTCGTAATTGTTTAATTAATGATATATAACTATAAGCAGGGGCGCACAGAGGTAGTCTGAGGCCCGGGGCAAAAATTCAATTTTGGGAGATTGTCAATCCTAACATATCTATATATATAAAAGCAAGTTGTGTTAGTTCCACCACTTATAACTTAAGAACGGCTGAACAGATTTGGCTGAAAATTGGTAGGAAGGTAGCTTAGAGCCCGGAATAGGAGTTAGGGTACTTTTTATTCCGTTCGACATACCAAAAATCGCATATAAACTGAGTTATTACCTCATCAAACTGACGAGCACACACTACCATAGCATTTTAACTCAATTTTTTTAAAGTGAGTAGAAATTATTTGTGATTTTGGTGAATTGAAGTGAAGTGAAGTTTTTCGTGCTTTTTGTGAATTGAAGTGAAGGGAAGTTTAATTAATAATGCCGCGACCAAGACGATCGAATCTTTCCCGACAAAGCCGTAATGCAAGAAGACTACAAAATACTGCAAATGGAAGGTCTGAAGAAGAACAAAACATTGAACGTGAACAGAACCGCGTTAGAATAGGTCGACTTCGTGCTTCTCAATCAGCAGAGCAAAGAGAGGCAATCCGTAATACGGCTCGGTTGACAATGCAGAATCGTCTAGCTTACAATAGAGGTCAAGAAATAGATCATTTGCGACGCAGAAGAAATTTATCAAGTGCTGATTTGAATCGAGCAGCGTTTCAATACGATTGCATCACTGATTACAGCTTGCATCCTAGCGTTTGCATTGGGCAAATGGACGTTGTTTGCGAGTATTGCGGTGCACTGAAGTTTTCCGGAGAAACGCCTGGATTATGCTGCTTTAATGGTAAAGTTAAATTGCCATTGTTGACTCCGCCACCTGAGCCATTGTATTCGTTGCTTTGTGGTGAAACACAAGAATCACGCCACTTTCTTGCAAATACCCGAAAATACAATGGTTGTTTCCAAATGACGTCATTTGGGGCAGATATTATCGAAGAACGAGGATTTAATCCGACATTTAAGGTTTTTTTTTTGTTTGTATTACATAGAATATAGTTAAAGAATAACTTACTTTATCTTAGATACAAGGGCAGATTCACCATCGAATTGGATCATTACTACCTTTCGAAGATACACAAAAAAATTTTACAAATATATTTCATGGGCAACATGGAAGAACAACTTGATCGACGTCTAGCGATCAATGAAGGGATGAAGCGAGCAATTCTTCAAGACATGCAGTGTCTGCTTCATGAACATCATGCGATGGTCAGGTTGTTTAAGAGTGCTTTAGAGCGCAAGCCAAATGATGACTATAAAGTTGTCATAAAAGCAGATAAACGACCATCTGGAACACACGAAAGGACATTTAATGCTCCAACAATAGACGAAGTCGCCATCCTGATTGTGAACAATTTGATGAATGAGGAGATACATTATCGGGTTTTACTCTTGATCGAAGATAATATATGTGTTACCTCAGGTGCGGTAATATATTAATCAGGTTAGAATGCCAGCGCCAAATCGTGAAATGAATGAGGCATTTAATCGAGAATTAGAACGGGAACGTGAATATGATCACCAGGAATTAAATTTATTAGTTCAAGCGAATGTACCCCTGTTGAATTCCCAACAGAAGAAAGTTTATAATACTTTAATGAAGGCAATCGATGAAGAAAATGGTGGTTTATATTTCCTAGATGCCCCTGGTGGTACTGACAAGACATTCCTCATGTCATTAGCTTTAGCAACTGTTCGGGCGAGATCCAACATAGCTGTTGCATTTGCTTCTTTGGGAATAGCAGCCATATTGTTAGAAGGATGCCAAACGGCTCATTCAGCATTAAAATTACCGTTAAATCTTCAAATTATTGAGGAACCAAAGTGTAATATTGCAAAACACTCGGAAATGGCCAAAGTTTTAATGGTATCGAAATAAAATTTTTCCTTTTCATATATAAAACAAAAAAAATTTTCTTTATCTTTTAAACACCAAACGAAGTTTTACCTAAAACTATCGCCATCTGGTGGCGGAACGGAGTTCGCTGGGTTTACTAGTCATCATATATAAGTTAAATTCCAAGTTATTGAACACAAGAATTTTATTTTTAAGACGTGATCTTTATTTGGAATAGAAATTGGGACTGAACATATTCTGCTTATCGATACCCTAATATAGGCTGTGGGTGGTTGCGGCGACGTTAACTTCGGCGGCGGCGGCGCTGTCTCGGTTGGCAGCGACGTTGGTAATTTTCGCTTAGTTGCATAAAGTGCAAGATCTGCAGAATTGTATTTCATGTTTTGCCTGGTGGCTGACCGGATGTTCATGTTTGTGTAATTAAATTTTATTTGTTGGACTTCTAGCTGGCTCTTGACTTTTATGTTATTGAACTCGATAACTCTATCATATAGCTGCCATAGGAGAGATCGAAAATTATATATAGAATTAATGGAAATAAATTAATAACATCGTTGTTTTTTATCCCACGAGCATGTTTTTGAATATAAAGATCTTTAACGACGTTTATATTGAAAAAAGTTTCATAAAAATCGGTCATCTATATCTTATAGCTGCCAAAGGAAAGATCGAAAAATCTATTGTGTGAATCCGGGAGAGTTTTCCCGGAAAAAATTACGTTTAAATAATTAAACAAAAGAGACTGGCGACTAGCTGCTGGGGAATTTTTAAGAAGGCGAAAAACAAGACGAGAACGAATTTGGTTCCAATACGTTTATTGCTGCTGCCAGCTGCTTCGAGGTTCGATCGGTTTATAATCTCCCGAGAGCAGCATATCATTTCGCATAGCCACGAACAGAAAAGCTTATCAGCTAGATCGGCTATGCTCAAGCTTGAGTGCAACTGATAAGCTTTTGTACATTGGTTTAAGGTGATTTGTTTACATTCTGGCTGCATCTATTCAATTCATTCTTTCTTTCAACTATCCTTAAAACTAACAATAAAACTAAATCTACTGCTCCAACATTCCGGCCCTGTTGAAGGCCTCCGGCGCTTTAACCTCCTCGTTAGGAGCGTTGCTTACTGGCAGCAATGCCAGCTTGTGGATGGCGCGCTTGATGACGCCTCCTGACGTCCGTACCTCCGCCACACGCACTCTTCCGTCCTCACCGCCTGTTGTTGCCACCACGCGGCCTGTGAGCCATCTTTGCGGGGGCATGTTGTCCTCGTGCACGAGCACCAGGCACCCGACCTCCAGATCGCGGCCCTCGACGCACCACTTGTTGCGATGCTGCAGGCTGGCGATGTAGTCCCTGGACCAGCTGGCCCAAAACTGCTGCTTGAGATCGGACAGCATTCGCCACCGCCTCAAATATCCGCAACTGGCCTTGCTGGAGATTCCGTCTGTGCCGGACTCTTGCGGCAGCGTGATCAGAGGCTGTCCGATAAGCAGATGTCCTGGAGTCAGGGCCTCTCCATCGTTGGGATCGTTGCCTGGCGACGCGATTGGTCGAGAATTGAGCAGCGCCTCTACCTCGACCAGATGGGTGCTGAGCTCGTCCGCTGTCAGCTTGGCGTTGCCGACTCCTCGCAGCAGCCGGTGTTTGGCGGCCTTGACTGCTGCCTCCCACAGTCCTCCGAAGTGTGGTGACCTCGGCGGTATGAAACACCACTCGACGCCTCTCTGAGCCGCGTATCCTCTCAACTGTTCCTGACTGCGGTGGAACGCTGCGCTCAGATCCTTGAGCACGTTGCTCGCTCCCACGAAGTTCGTGGCGTTGTCGCTGTACATCTTCTGAGGCAGCCCTCTCCTCCCGACGAACCTTTTAAAAACGGATAAGAAGCTGTCAGTTGATAAATCTACAACGAGCTCAAGGTGAACAGCCTTTGACGAAAAACACACGAAAACGGCAACATAAGTCTTGATAGGAGGTTTACCGCGGATCTTTAGTGACACATAAAATGGTCCGCAAAAGTCTACCCCGCAAACCAAAAAGGGGCGTGCTATCTTGACCCTATCGGCTGGCAAATTGCCCATTATCTGACCCATTAGCACTGGTTTGTATTTGAAACAGTGGACACAGCTACGGACAACTTTTGTGCACGCTTCTCGCGCATTGATAAGCCATATCTGCTGCCTCGAAAGTGATACCATCACTTTGACACCAGCATGGTAATGAGTACGATGCAGGTCTCGAAGAAACAGCGAAACAAATTCTGATTTTGAGGACAGTAACAGTGGAAATTTGGCATCATACGGTATTGGTGCATTTAACAACCTTCCCCCAACTCGGATTAATTGAAGTGTTACGCCTTCTAGTTCGCTTGTGTGTAAGAACGGATTTAGACGTTGGAGATGTGGGCTTAAAGTTTCAGATTTCTCTAACTTGACATATTCTAAACCAAAATCAGCTCTTTGATATATTTGGACCATTCTTAGAAACGATAACTTCAGTTCGTTGGCCGAAATAACAATATCGCGATTATTTTTCTTCCCTTGAACAAATCGATTCACATATGCCATAATCCGCAGGAGTTTATTGAATGACGAACATCTTCCAACAAGCTCAATGAAGACATTCGGTTGATTTGTTGTGACGGAACATACTGTCACGCTTTTCTTGTTCTCGGACAACTGTAACTCCGGTGAAACTTCAGTTTGATGAGAACGAGGCCACTCGTTAGGATGTCGGAGTAAAAATTCTGGTCCATTTTCCCATAGCGTACATTTTAAACCCTCTATATCTGTCCCTCGTGATACTAAATCGGCTGGATTATCTTCCGTGAGCACATGACGCCAGACAACATTCTCTGAGAGCTCTTGAATTTCAGAAACTCTATTCGCGACAAATGTACCTAGAGTGGACGGATCCCTCTTTAGCCAGTATAAAGTCACTTGGGAATCCGACCAGAAGTTGATGCTTTCAAACTCTAATTTGTTAAGCAAGGGAAATACTTGAGCCCATAATTTGTCAAGCAGATGCGCTGCACACAGCTCGAGCCTTGGAATCGATTTGGTTTTGAGGGGAGACACTCTCGACTTGGCGGTCAGCAGTCTCGACAAACTTTTTGTCCCAGCCACGGTACGAATATAAATGCAACAGCCATAGGCGTGGCTTGATGCATCAGCAAATCCGTGGATTTGAACACTGTCATAGGAAGACAAACAAATGTATCGAGGAATGGATATCCGGTCAATTTCTAATAAATTTTGTTTGAATTCATTCCAACTGGTATGTAAATTCATAGGAACCGATTCGTCCCAATCCAGTTTTTGTCGCCACAGTTCCTGAAGCAAGATTTTAGCTCTCGTGATCAGCGGGCACAACAATCCCAAGGGATCAAACAAACGGGCTGTGACGGATAAAATGTTGCGTTTAGTTGGTGGTAGGGACTGAAACGAATCCTCCAAACTATAATGAAAGGCATCACTCTGAGGGTTCCATCTCATCCCAAGCGTTTTCACAGACTCGGAAGTGTTGAACATAAGCGATTTTTCCGATCCCTGGTTAGTCATCAAACTTGGGTGATTTGTTGCCCATTTGGCCAGCTGGAAGCCACCTAACTCTAACACCTTGATCACTTCTTTGCGAATGACTTCCAACTCTTCTAAACTGTTTGCTCCTGTGAGCATATCGTCTACATAGAAGTCGCTTGAAATTACCTCTGATGCGACAGGATGTGACTCAGAGTAAATTTTTGCCAATTCAAAGAGGCAACGAATGGCCAAAAACGGAGCAGAGGCTGTTCCATAAGTGACAGTGTTGAGGCGATAAGTTTGTAGAGCTTGCGTCGACTTTTCCCTCCACACGATAAGTTGGAAACTTCTGTCTTCATTGGCAATGTTAACTTGCCTATACATCTTCGAGATGTCAGCAGTCAAGGCATACTTGTGTAATCGAAATCTTGCCAAAATAGCGTAAAGCTCCCTCTGAATCGTTGCACCCACCATTAAAGTCTCATTTAATGAGATCGAGGTTGACGTTTTACTTGAAGCGTCAAAAACAACTCGCAACTTTGTGGTGCTACTATCAGGTCTCAGGACACATTGATGTGGAATGTAATAGTGTTGTCCTGGAGGAGGTGTTGGAAGCAGCGACATATGCCCAAGGTTAAGATACTCTTTCATAAACTCTTGATACATGTCATGTAACTCGCAATTATTTGCAAGCTTGCGCTCCAACGCAAGAAATCTGCGCCTTGCCGTTTCGAAGGATAAGCCTAAAACACTTGGATTTGTCTTAAATGGCAACTTTACCTCGAAACGACCTGACGAAAGCCTGTGTACTGTTTTCTCAAAGTGCTGCTCGCAAGCTGCTTGTTCAGCTGTATACACAGCCTTCGATCTCTCCGGGACGTGTTCCAATTCCCAAAAACGTTCTACAAGAGAGTCGAGAGAACTTATATTTTCACTACCAGTGACGCTGCATACTTGGGCATTATTCGATACGCGTTGAGTGTACTTTCCCGAAACAATCCATCCTAAGAGAGTTTTCTGGATTGAAGGATATTCTGAACCCAATTTTATTTGGCCTACGCTGAGAAGTTCGAAAAAGGATTCTGCCCCAATTAGTAAGTCTACTTTTGCGGGCTTGTGAAAACGAGGGTCCGCTAATTCAATATTTGCTGGAATTTTCCACTGTGCACAATTGACTTCATTATCTGGTTGATATGATGAAATGGAGCTTAATACCCAAAAATCAGTAGCGAAACTATGAGCAGTGACGCGAGAATGAATCGACGTGTGGACTTTGTGTCGTACTACCGAGTCGTTCTTCCCTACAGTGGTGACATTCAAATAGGATTCTTTCCTGCGTAACCGCAAACGCTGTGCTAAGTCCTCGGCCATAAAGTTTATTTGAGACCCTGAGTCTAACAGAGCTCGTGCTAATTGAAACTGTCCAAATCTATCCCGTACCTGAACGACAGCCGTAGCAAGAATAACTTGGTCACTACTTGCAACATGACAAGAATGGGCTTGATTGGGATGATCAAATGCTACTGAAGATGCTTGGGCTTGCACTTGAGGAAGTGATCCCGAAGAAGTTGGTTGCTGCTCTACTCCGTATCTGTGAAGAAGTGTGTTATGAGGTTTGGAGCAAACGCGACACTTTACTGCTTTGCACTTCTTGACTGGATGACCTGGATTCAGACAATTAATACACAACCGATTGTGTTTTGTAAAATCGAACCGTTGGATCACTGACAAAGCCATGAAAGGTTGACAACTGCCTAAACTATGGTTTGTCGCTGAGCAATATCGACATTTTGATTCAGGTCTGCGATCTGTTTGTGTGCATGAGAAGGACGATTTGGAATATCCTCTATTGGAACCTTGGTTAGGCTTCCCTTTACTTTTGGTTGACTCTTCAGCAGCCAAATGTTGGTATCGCCGATTCAACAGAGTCGCACAATCAGACCACGTCGGCAACGTATTATAATCTAGCTGTTCCTCAAATCTGGATTTTGTTGTGTGATCTACTTTGGACATTGCAATGTGAATAAAAATTGCGTTGTTTATTTCTTTTTCACTACCCAGAGACTGTAACGATGCATAGAAAGCCGATATTTCATCTATAAGAGACCTCAAGCCTGATGCAGAGGGTTTTGATACTTGCGGGAGGTCAAACAGCTGAGAAATCGTGTCAAAAAAGATCAAACATTTATTGTCGTACACGTTTTTTAGACTAGCCAATGCCTTCTCATAATTTAGATCCGAAATTTGAAAAGCTTTCACAGTACCTAATGCATCATCTGTTAAACATGTTAGCAGATGGTTAAATTTCTCTATGTTTGTTAGAGATGGGTCGTTGTGAACTAAACTCTCAAAAAGACTTATAAAATTTTTGTAGTCGGAATGTTTTCCACTAAATTTCGGTAGATTCATTTTTGGTAACTGAGACGAATGACGATAACCACCTATATCACTTTGACTAAGTCTCTGAGGCTCGAATTCTCTCATTGCGGACCGATATAACGCTTTCGTAATTATGCACATCTCCTCAACAGACGCTCTTAAATCATTCACTGGATTTAGCACATCGATATCTCCTTGGATATCCATCAATTTCTCGCAATATGTTTCGAGAAGTTGCATTCGGTATTCCATTTGAAACCTATCGAATGAAATGGTTTTTTCCTCGAATGACGTTCTCATACGTTGAATATCACTCATCACCCTGCCGTGTTTTTGCATAGCCACTATTAATTTAGCACTAGGCTTTGACGATGCTTCCTTTTCTTTTTCAGACATTTTAGGTTAATTTAAATGAATAAAATATTCCAAGTAAAAACAGTCGGACACAAGGGTTAAATAAATTTATTTCCAAATGCTCGAAATGCTTCCTTAATAAATTTCCACCAATATCTAAATTTTAAATTTTAAAAATTAAAAAATTTAATTCCTCCAAAAAATTTTATTGGGTTGAATAAGGGTTAAATGTGCACAGAAGCACCACCAAAATGCACAAAATATGTTTGTATGTGTGTTTGCCGTTTAACCAAAGCCGAAAAAAATGCACAAATGTTGAATTTTATTTGACAAATAAATTGTCCAAACTATTTAAGTGGATCCCGTACGGGTTAAAGATGCCCACAAACACCGACAAAAAAAAACCAACAAATGTATTAAAGATTTTTCTCCAGGCCGAATCTCTGAGTATACACCGAATTAATATCCAGGCAAATATGTACATACATATAAACATAAACTGTAGGCAGGGCTTAAATTCACTGCCGAGTTTTGTAGGAACTGTTGGCTGTATACAGTTTGAAAGCCACTGCCGCTGAAACTGGCGCTAAAAATTAACTGATGCGTTGTTTTACATACATATGTACAGCATAGAAGCCACTGACACTTATATATAGCAGATAAATAACTGCTCTGCAACTGCACAAAAGGGAATCGAAAATTGGCGGCGAAACGCTGGTATGTTTGTACATATGTATGTAGATATAGCTGCACTTTTGCGGTTGCACCGTATGTATATAACGCACATAGAATTTTCAAATTTTCGTAGAATTTAAAACACCATAAGTTTTGTCAAAGGCAGTTCACTTTTTTATTAATCATTTGGAAGTTTGGGTATATTTGGGGGTTTAATAATATTTCCAATATAAGTAGGTGCCAAGAATTAATACCATGCTCACAAATTTTAATTTTTGGCACTGAATACCTGGTTGTTGTTAGGCATAATTTTCCAAGCACTTTCCTTTCAAGTCCAAACTGCGATCGCCAACAATTAAACCGAATTCCACCAGCTAGAATTTCCGCCAACAATTTACAAAAAACTAAACAAGTGCCGAGACGACGAGAGTGCACTGTTTTTTTGTTTAATTTTTTCGACGCGAAAATTAATGCAAAACTAGCCGTTGTCCCTGCTCGGGCGCCAATGTGAATCCGGGAGAGTTTTCCCGGAAAAAATTACGTTTAAATAATTAAACAAAAGAGACTGGCGACTAGCTGCTGGGGAATTTTTAAGAAGGCGAAAAACAAGACGAGAACGAATTTGGTTCCAATACGTTTATTGCTGCTGCCAGCTGCTTCGAGGTTCGATCGGTTTATAATCTCCCGAGAGCAGCATATCATTTCGCATAGCCACGAACAGAAAAGCTTATCAGCTAGATCGGCTATGCTCAAGCTTGAGTGCAACTGATAAGCTTTTGTACATTGGTTTAAGGTGATTTGTTTACATTCTGGCTGCATCTATTCAATTCATTCTTTCTTTCAACTATCCTTAAAACTAACAATAAAACTAAATCTTGGCAAGAAAGTCATTTCGTTTTTTTTCAATATTTTCAAAGATGATTTATTTATATCAGGAATTATAATTAATCAATTATGTATTGGCCGTTTTGTTCGACCACTAATGACCATCTCTCGGTCAACTGCATAATTCCGTGCTCGAAGAACTTTTGGTCTTTTCCAGCAAAGAATCGAGACAAGTGGTTTTCGACAGCCTCATCTGAATCAAAGTTTTTACCATTCAAAGAGTTTTGAAGAGAGCGAAACCAATGGTAATCTGAAGGCGCTAAGTCCGGACTATAAGGTGGATGTGGTAGCACTTCCCAATTCAGCTCCCTTAATTTTTGCCAAAGATGTGTGGGGCCTAGCGTTGTCATGGTGAAAGACTATACCCTTGCGATTAGCTAGTGCCGGCTCCTTTTCTTTAATTTTTTCCCCCAAATTGGATAGCTGGCGACAGTACACATCTGAATTGATGGTTTCATTCCGTCCCAGCAGCTCAAAGTGCACTACACCCTTCCAATTCCACCAAACTTTCCTCTGATGGATATCGGCCTTTGATGTGGCTTGGGCTGGCTTATCTTTTTTGCTCTATGATCTTTTTCGTTGGACATTATTGTAAACAACCCACTCTTCGTCGCCAGTAATGATCCGCTTCAAAGAAGGATCGTTTTTAATCCGTTGCAGCAGAGAATAGCAGATGTTGATACGCTTAGTTAGGTGAATTTCCTTTAAGTTATGCGGAACCCAAACATCGAGCTTGCTTACGTAGCCAAGTTTCTTCAAATGGTTTTCAACCGTTGTATGCGACACACTGAGCTTCTCTGACATCTCCCGCGTTGAATAACGCCGGTTTTCATCCAGCAAAGCCTGAAATTGTTCGTCAAAAACGGCCGATGGTCGACCAGAACGTGGGGCGTTTTTAACTCCAAAATCTCCAAGCTTGAATTTGACAAACCAGCGCTGACATTGGCGATCACTCATGGCATCTTTACCATACACTTCGCACAATTTTTCGCGAGCTTCGACCGCTTTTTTTCCTTTTTGGAAGTAAAAAAGCAAAATATGCCGAAAATGCTCACTTTGGTTCTCCATGTTTAATTTGCTATAGCTTCCACAAATGTTATCGAATAATTATCAAATTTTCGTCGATAGTACTTAAGACAATAAGCTTTAAAACGATACTAAAAAGTGTGACCCTGGTGCTCGATTAGTCGTAAATAAATTAGATAAAAAACATGACTTTCTTGCCAACCCAATATATAGAAATAATGGAAATAAAATTATAACATCGTTGTTTTTCATCAGACAAGTATGATTTTTGGAATATAGAGTTTTCTTACGACTCTTGAATTACGAATTAAATTTGATCAAAATCGGACAACTATATCGTATAACTCCCATATGATCTATAGTCAAAAATATGGAAAATGAATAGAAAAATCGTCTTAGCTTCGTTGTTGTCTAGCCTTTATGCGTTTTGTTCGACATATTTGATGACTGCAAGGGTATATAAGCTTCGGCTTGCCGAAGCTAGCTTCCTTTCTTGTTTTTTGTTTCATTTTAGGGAAATAATATTTTTCTGAAAGTTGGGCTCTATTTTCTTCTGCATTTCTGTGAGCTCTATTATGAGTTTCTAATATTAATTCTTCTTGATCATTTTCGTTTGTTAAATCTTCTACTTTTTTCTGTGTGAACCTGATTTTAAAAGATGTGAAATGTTCTGGATAAATTTTTTGTATTTCTTCCATAATAGTTTCGGTTGTAAAAATTCCATTTTTATTTAAATATTTTTTTAATATTTGGATAAGGGTATTTTTTTGAAGGTTTGGTTGAGTAATAACATGTCGATGAAATGTGGGGAACGGAATATTGAATTTGTAGTCAGGTGGATTTTCTTTGTAAATAAATATTTGGTTTTTAAATGCGTTTATGGGAACTTCTACACTGTAAATTAAATTATGGCCAGAACTCTGAGCACTATGCTGTGTTATTGTTAGTGAATTGACTTCGTTATTTTTTGGAATTCTAGATAAGGCATCAGCTACTACGTTTTCCTTTCCGGGTTTATAAAGTAACTCTTTATTGTATTCGTCGAGGTATGATTTCCATCTCTTAATCGCGATTCCTCCTTTCCAGTTACAGTCGTGAGTAAGTGGTTCGTGGTCAGTGTAAATTTTTACTTTAGTCCCACCATAAAGGTATCCTCTAAGAGATTTTACTGCCCATGAGATGGCTAACATTTCTTTTTTTTGCTGTTTCATAGTTTTCTTCTGTCTGTGATAGGGTTCTAGATATTAAAGCTATTGGCCTGTCTTTTTGTGAAAGTACTGCTCCTATTGCATGATCGGAGGCGTCTGTCGTAAGTACAAATTCTTCGTTAAAGTTGGGGTATTGTAATATTACGTCTTCTGATATTAGGATACTTTTTAGTTTATTAAAGGCTTGCATGGCTTCGTCGTTAAGGTGGATTTTTTTCTTAGATGAAGCTTTTTTGAAATCTGTCCGTCCTCGCCTCTAAGTAAGGTGGTAAGCGGTTTTGCTAATGCTGCGTATCCCATAAATCTCCTATAATGTCCTGACAGTCCAAGGAAAGCTCGTAAGTCTTTGACGGTTTTAGGACAAGGGTAGTTAGCGATCGCTTCTACCTTTTTGGGGTTTGTCTCGATTCCTTTGTCTGATATTACAAAACCTAAAAATTCAACTTTGTTTTTGTAGAATTCGCACTTGTCCAGCTGGCATTTAATGTTGGCTTTATTTAAAGTTTCAAATATTTTCCCTAAGTTTTTAGAGTGGGATTCAGCATCCGGACTGAATACAATTATATCGTCAATATAAATGTAACAGATTTTTCCTATGTGTTCCCTGAGAATGTCGTCTAGTGCCCTTTGAAATATGGATGGCGCGTTTTTTTAACCCAAATGGGAGTCTGGTGACCTCGTATTTTCCGTTGTTCACGGAGAAGGCTGTTTTTTCTATATCTTTTTCCTTTAAAGGAATTTGGTGGAACCCGCTCTTGAGATCTAACACGGAAAACATTTTATTATTCCCCAATTGCGCCAAGACTCCATTGATATCTGGAATAGGGTATCTGTCTGCTATTGTTACCCTGTTTAATTTTCTGTAATCTATTACCATTCTATATTTTTGTACGTTGGATCCATCTAATTTTTTTGGAACTATCCACACTGATGAATTGTAGGGTGATCTTGAGGGTCGTATTATATTATTTTGTAAAAGTTCTTCTATTTGAGGATCTATTTCGTCTTTGAGTGACATAGGGTATTGATAGAACTTTGAGTAAACTGGGGTATCGGTGTTCGTACGTATTTCGGCTTTTACATTTGTTGTATAGGTCAGTTTTTCGTCGGGTTCGGCAAAGAGATTTGGATATTTACGGAAGAGATGATTTAATTCTAATTTTTGTGTCTTGTTGAGATGGTCTGCCCTGGGAATAATTAAGTTAACTGTTTGTAGTTTTTCCTCTTTTATAGTTATAACTCTACCGGATTTTAGTGACATGGTTTTATTTTTTATATCGATTATGGCTCCTAATTCTTTTAGGCTGTCATTCCCTAAAATAGCATCGAATGTATTTAATGTTGGTAATAAAAAGAATATAATTTTTGTATTGGTGTCGTCAAATAAGTTGGCTATTTTATGATGTGTGAATTTAATACTTCCTCCCACTGATACGGCTTCGAAAGGGGATATGTTTTTTACTGGGTTTTTAACGAATTTTGGTAGGATGTAATTATTGTTTGAGCCGGTGTCAATTAGTATTTTTAAAGTCTCTCCACTCCTCAGTCTGCATTCAAATTACGGTAACGAGGAGTTGGTTATTCTAAACAATTGAGGTAGCCATATTCGTAAGGGTATCCCTGGTCTGCCTGTTCTACATTGTTACAATATTCTGAAAGAGTTTCGTCGTATTCTATTGGGGTATCTTCTTGTGATTTTAGGGTTTGTTCGTAATCTGTGAGTGTAGGAGATTCATCTTTTACTTCGGAAGTAGTGTCTGTAGCGGATTGGATATTGATGTTTCTAGCTTTTTTTGTATTTTCGTTTAATGGTGGTCTTTTGCCGGAATCAAAACGTCCT